CTTTCCCAGTCCTGCATATATCTGAAGGCACATCAGACATCCATGAGTTCCTTCCTGGCAAGTGGTAATATGGAATCGTAAAGAAGCATCTCTGATTTGTTGCAACACAGAGCTAGACTGTGTGCACCACCACCTCTCCCCGCCCCGCCCTCTGGCCCCAGGGGCTCCCTGGCTCAAAACAAGGATTGCGGGCTACTGACTTTCTTGTCTTCCCAGGATCACTTGCACAGGACACCAGAGGCTGTGCCATGGAGTCTTTACCCTTGTTTTTGGTCCTCCTGTTGGTGCTTTAAGTTTATTACAAAGGATGGCAAACCAAGACAATTTGGGAGATTGCGCTAGATCTTTGGTCTGTCGTATACTTTTTAGTTGTATTCCCAGCGCCTAAAACAATGCATGGAATGTAGGAAGCAGTCAACAAAAACATGCTGGTCACTGAACCAATGGACAAATAAACAACTAGATAGACTTTGTATTGGGGTCAGAGTTTGGTGACAATCCCAAATGAGCAAAGGAAACACCCAGAGAGTGAATTTGAATGAGCAAGTAAAGCCTTAATAGGGGCCTTTTGATCAGTCTTTATTACCAGGAAGGGCAATACTCTCAAAGGAGCTAAAAAAAAAAAAAAAAAAAAATCAAATTTAGTAACCTAAGATGTCTGTAGTAACAGAGCTGAAGAATGTGTTTTCCAATATTTGATTTCTTAGCTTGACAGTCTCTCTTGAAATACTCTCTTCTCAGCACTGAAAATGCGAATCTTTGTTGGTTTGTTTTGCAGTTTGCAAATGACTTACAGAGTTCTTCTGGCAGGGTTTCTGTTTTCCTCTCGCAAATAAACAAAAGGCTATTTCTCTAATATGACTTAAGTAGGAGAGATTCTGTGATCTCCTGTCATGATTTTGAAAAGAGGAGGAAAGCAGAAGAAAAAAGGAGGGGCAAGTAGAAAGAAGAAGGAGAAAAACAGAAAGAAGTGGAATCTGGAAGCTGAGAAAAAAAGCAGGAAAGAGGCAAAGATAAATTGGGTATGGGAAATTAGAGTGTCAGGGACATGAAACAGCAGAGGATTCTGTAATCAGCAGGATGCTGCAGATGCCTACTGGGGAGGCTGGGCTCACCAGGGTCCGTGGGGACCCTCCGCCATTCCACCATGTCACCATGTCGCTGGGGCTCCTTGTGAACTGGAAAGACAGACTCCCTCCTCCTCCTGGGCAAGCCTGCGTGTGTGGAGCAACCCCTGTGAGCTTGACCTAGATCTGTCAACTGATCAATTACTTTTACCATAGAGGAGAAGGGGAAAGGAAAGGAAGAAACAAAAAGGGAAAGAGAAAAAGAGAAAGTGGAGGACAGAGAAGGGGGAGAGAGAGGGCAGAATGAGAGAGAGCAAGAAGGAGGGAGAGAGAATGAGAGGAAAAGTGGGTGCAGTCTTGTATCTTTTAAATTTAATCAGTGATAGCAAGAACAGACTTAATCCAGGAGAGTGTGTGCATACGTGCACATGCACAGGAAAGGAGATGCAAAGCTGCCAGAGGTTACTGACCACAATCATAGGCAAGGCAGAGGCTGGAGCTCTCTTTCCCCACCTTGCCAGTCCAGCTTAGTGCTGTTTTTTCCCCACTGAAACACCTACCCCCAGCACCCACCCTCCCCAAGGTTCTCCCTCTACCGCTCACTGCCAGCATTGCTCTCCCAGGCAGGAGCCTCCTTTTACAAATGGCTGGGAGCACGCTCCCTGCAACTTCCTTCTAGAGCCCCTCTGCCCATGCCAGGGCCCGCTGCAGCAGAGTGAAGAGTCCTCCACCAGGGCAGAGGAGACACGGGAGGACGCTGGGGTGGCCCCCTCCGACCCTATCCAACCTGTATGCCATCGACTTCCTTATGTTTGCAGGCTTCATTTTTTATGTTTAATTTGTTTTATTGAATTTCAAATGACTATAGACATAAAGTAAACATGTGAAAAGACAATAGAGCAGAAAGGAAGTAAACTGCATAAATACAACCAGTCTCAGCATGGAGTTCCACTTAGCACCACATGTTTGGAGTGTTACAAGCATTAATGAGTCCTTACAACACCCAGGGGAGTCACTCCCCGGCCTGGCGGGCAGGTGGGGAGACAGGCGCACAGAGGGAAACGTTTTCCCTACAGAAAACATAGGGAAATTTGAGCTCAGATGTGCGTGTTTCCCACCGAGCCATGCTCGGGCCACTAGCACTGGCTTGAAACCTGAAGGCCATGCACATCGGATGTTTGAAGAGGCTGTAGGACCTCTGCTGATGCTGGATAGAAAGCAACGTGTTTTATTTTATTTTATTTTGCATCTTAGCACTTTAGTTGGTGGGCAGAAGCAGGCGTGAGCGCCAAACCAAAACACTTGGAAAAGAGCCAAATGCCAGACCTGTTCGTTGCATCCGAAGTGTGCTTCCTCCGTGAGTGGACGGAGAGCAGCGCAAGTCTCTCCACCACGTGTTTCTTGCACATGCCACAGTCACCTGTCCTACCCACATTGATTCAGAAATTCTGCCACTTCTTGGGGTATTGAGAGAGCTCACTTCGTCCAAAGCGATTAACTGTGGCAAAAGCCAATCCCGGTTTGTTGGGTCCGTCCACGAAAGGACTCAGCACCAGCACTGCCGGGCCCATGCGCACGCAGAGTAGGGCCCCAGGGAGCTGTCAGCAGGCAATCTAGGCTGGAGCACCTCAGGCAGGGAACCAAGAAGGACACTTAAAGACAACATTTTGGACTCTTAATTGATACCGGTGCCGTGGAAAGAACTTACTGAAAAAGAAAGAAGTCAGGGGCTACACATCTCCCATGATGAGGAGGGGTTCTTAGGCTTCTATGTGGCCTTAAATGAACTGAGAAAGGAAGGGTCAGCACCAGGAGCAGGTTTGCTGCAATTCTAAGAAAGGCCTTCATGCAGCAAGGTCAGCGCTGGGACTCCCCGGCCCCTCCAGCGAGGGCTCAGAGGACCGTCACTGTTGCGTGGGCAGGGCCGTGCATGGCAAGCATGTTTTCCTTTGAGAAGTCCCTCTGCCCCTACTTTCACTGCCACGCTCCCCAGAGCCTGCGGTGCCTGCATCAGGCCCGGAGCCCGTCACCCACACCGATTTTTCCACTTTGCCAGCAAACGTCGTTGTGGTCTCCTCTGCCTCCCTCACGTCTCAGCGGCGCTGCCCAGCCCAGGCTGCCGCCGGCGCCGCCTGTTACCGGCGCTTGGCAGGAACGGGCCGGTCTGCCCAGCTGAACGGTGCCCACGACCTGGGCGCCGAGCAGGGAGGCGTGTAACTTAGCCCAACCTCCTTTTCCTTCTGCTCTGCCACGTCCGTGTCTCAAGCAAGCAGCTATGTTGACGTGGGAGGAGAGGAGATGAGAAAAAATTAGAAAGGTAAGAGAAGAACCGAGCCAAGCTCGTCGGAAGGTGTTAACAGGAACAATAATCCTTCGAAGGTGAACTGGTCGAGTTTCTAGAAAGAGAAAACCTGCAGCAAAGCCAGCCATTCCTCTCAGAGCCTCTCAGTGGCAGAAGGTGGGCGGTGGGTGTGCTGAAAAGGACAGCGCCTAATCCGCTCCCTGGCACCTATTCCCGGGAAGGGAGAGAGGAGCCTCTGGTTAATCTACCCCGGGGTATCTTAGGGCCAGAGCCCCTGGGAGCTAATCACCCCTCCCTCCAGCATCACTAATCAGGTCTGATTCTCTCGGAAACTGCCCCCCCCCGCCCCTCACTAAGCTGGATCATGGCTGCTGGTTGGCTTGTGGGGAGGAATAGGTCAGGGAGGGGTCCACAACCTGCCGCTAGCACCAGACACCTTTTCAAGAGGCAGGAAACACAGGAAGTAGCAGCTCCAGGAAGAGCCAGCTTAAAACAAAAACAGAGGAGAAGAAAAAATTGCCTTGGAATGTGTACTGCATTCTAACTAGTCCCACTGGGTCAATGCAATAGGGGTGGATTATTGCAGGCAAGACCTGGGCTGCCTCAGTAATTCTGCAAGTTTGATAAGAGATAGCCGGCACTCCGGCTGTGCTCCCCGGAAGAGAAAACAGACATCACCTTTGCCGTGTTCCACTGGCATGAGCTATGAGGGTCTTTGGGGGTCATTCAGCCTTAAAATTGGCCAGCCTCATTCTATCATGACACACTGAAGCCTATTCAGGGCTGAGTCGGGGTGGGCAGTACAAATAAGGGCCTCACTCTTCCTAGGAAATTCAGGATTTGGTGGAATGTGAGGAGGTCTGAGATATTCTCATCACCACCACCCCACCCCAAGATAAAAATAAGACTACAAAATCAGATTTCACCCTGAAGAAATTTGCGCTACCACGTTCTACTCATCTATTCAGGGATGATTCAAAGTATGAGCAAATATTATGCTTCCCTGCATTTATTCTGATGAAAAAAAACCTCACGTATGCTAATTTATATGTAAATTCAGAATGGCCCTGGGGGTCCTGGCAGGCAGCCAGTGGGGCTTGTTGATGGTGGAAGTTTGGTCATTGTCTCCAGTTTGATGTTATAGATGGAAGAGACACAAATCTCAGGACAGATGGAAATTATTAAGGGCTTGGGACCCTCCCTCTCTCTACCCTGCCCCTCACTCCACCCCTTACCTAGTTAGTTTTCATTTCTGTTGTCAGCACCGTAGAAACTGTTGCCCTTAAGGTGCCTGGTCCTGAACTCAGTTTCCCCAGGGCCAGTGATAGGGCTCTGTTCTCAGTGCACGAGTCCCCGTACACCAGAACAAGCAAGGTGCACATGCACACGCAGGCACACGCAGGCACACACACACGCTGATGCTGTTTCATGTTACATAAGAGGAGTCAATCAAGGATGCCTCCAAGTTGACTCCCTTCACTCTTAACACCCACCAATGCCCCAAGGGAGAGGAGAGAAATCTGGAGGCCCGTCCCCCTGCTGCAGGCAGCCTCATGGATATTCCTGCAAGATCCACCCCCGCCCCCGACTTCCTTGTCAGCCAACAAGGACCCCTCCCACCCCCCTTGCCATCCTCCCTGAGCCCCAGCCAAGGATGCACACAGTTTATTCCTTCCAGCCCGGCCCCCCTGTCCACATCATGTGCTTCTGCATCGCAGCCATTGCAACCTATGCCACAGGGACAGCAGCAGTCCCCAGCGCCTGACCTCAGAGAAGGGTCAGCAGCACTGGAGCTCGGGACTCAGTGAAGACCATGAGAACTCCATACTGCAGAGGGAGAAGAGCAGGAGGTGGGTGGAACTCCAACCCTTTTCACTCGCTCAGATCGAACTTTTCCTCTGGGAATACAACAGCAGAGGGCTGAGCCTCCATCCCTTGGGAGGGCTCCTCCTGGCGAGCCCTGCCGGACCACCCAGGGAAAGTTTCTCAGCCTGTCTCAATCCTATGAGTTCAGGCATCTTTAATGCGAAAGAGGCAAACCAGACGCCCCGAAGGACAGGGTTGAGGGAACGAGCAGGCTGGCAGGTAACTCTGCCGCTGGAGCAAACGTGAGACCGGGACAGGGCGTGGGGGCTGCACAGTGCAGCAAACGGACCGAGGTGGAAGCAGGTTCTGAACGCACAGAACACGCACAGGGAACATCAAAGCACACTCAACTGCTGCCCCAGGGCTGGGGCTCAGCCGATAAATAAACAAAAAATTAGCATTCCACTCCACTCTCCTTGCCTCTCTCTCTTCAAGTAAGAAAAGCTTTCTGAGATTCAGAGCCCCATCACCCCTCCCCTTTATCTGATCGTTATCCACAGCCCCCACCCCACCCCTGCCACAAACACGCCCCCAAACACATTCAAAACTAACACAGTTGCCCACCACTGCTGCAAATCGGTGCGTGCCTTGGAGCTGGATAGCTGACCAGACAGGAGGCACCTGAATATTTCCAGCCTGCATTTTCCCCGTTTGCTCCTTTCAGAGCGTTGCAAGTTCACTGGCCGATATTTAAAGTTTCCTCTTGTAATTTCTTCCCAGTCGCATAAGCAACACATTAACAACCCCGCTGCCCTCCGAAGCTGTCGTTTCCCCTGCTCACATGTGTGCTCTGTTGTGTGTGTGTGCAAGAATGTGCACGAAGCCGGGGAGCCCAGCACGTAACCACAGACCTAAAAGGAACACCAACACGTATGCATATACATCCCCACATTCCGGCAGCAGCCAGAATCAAATCAATATTCTCACAGCCTGGCCGGGAGAATGAATCCCAGCCATTCTGTCTGAACGCTGTCTCCTCCACCTGCAAGCCGCGCAGCAGAGCCGGCTCGGAGGCTGCAAATCACATAAAGCACACTGTACGGTCCCTGGTCACCGCAGGCAAAGCAACAGCAGCTCTTACCTTGGAAGACACACAGAGCAGCCAGCCCGGTGAAGACTGCCCAGGAGACAGAATTGTGCATTTTTGCCTGGAGGGTTTTCATGATTTTTTTTTTCTTCTTCTTTTTCTTCTTTTTTGTCAGATTCGGTTTTTTTCTTTCTTTCTTTCCCGGTAGATTGTGTTGCTCTCAAGCTCGTGCAAGGAGATTTAAATCCACTGTTTTGCTGAAGGACACGAGAAAGCCGAGGGTGTGAGAGAGTATGACTTCTCCGTAATTATCTCCACTCATACTCTGGCACTGAGACACATTGTACAATCTGGCCCTGGACAGCCCTCCTACAAGCTGCAATCATTGGTTCTAATCCAAGGATTGACAGAGCTACAACACACGCGCGCAGACACACACACACTCACACACACACTCTCAGGAATCATTTACTGGGCAAATCAGGCTAGCTGATTAAAGAGACAGGAGCCTGGAGAGAGAGAATGATAAATGCCATTTTGCCCCTTCTATATTACTTTCATTTTTTAAACTGACAGTCTCTGAGCCCCAAGCAGCAGAAAATTCCTTTCCCCCTGGCATTCCTTGGCCTCCTGAACTCAGATTCCCTTTGCACTGGAAAAATCCCATAGCCAGCCATGGCTTACGGGAAATTTTAAAGGGACATTTTCATGCTCAGTGAAACTTGCAAAGATGAGTCAAATTTCATTTGCTGGTACCTATTTTCCTCTCCGTTGGCAATCTCATTCAATGACAGATTTTTTTTTTCTCTCTCTCTCATCAACCTTTCTACTTAGTTGCCTTGAAAATAGTAAATAACTTTCTATTTTCTTCTCCTGTCACTCCTATTTCAGAATATCTATGTTACTCCTATTTTTCATTCATTTTTTTTTAAAAAATTGTTCTCCTAAAGTCATCCGTGCGTATATGATACCATGAAAAGGGATAAAGTAGTTGGGATTTGAGAAGAAAGTCTGCAGTCTGAATATGCAGAACCTTTTTAAAAAGAGAACAAGATATGAGTTCATTCCACATGCCTTAGTCAATCTGCATTCACTAAAAAGCATAATATAAATTTCTGTGGTTTAAACTACAGCAAGACAGATTTAAGTTAGCCATGCTGAGGGACTTTCTGAGTATAAACTTTGTGTGCAGTTATAAGATGTCCTCTGAGCATGTGGACATTCATTTCCTTGGTGATAGCTGAGAATAAAAACCAGGCAGAAATAATTGAATGGATGCAATAACTTCTTAAGGGATCTAATTCTAGGCTTGGGAAGTTTGTTTTAATTTTTGGCTCCCTCTAATGAGCAGCAAGTTAAAGAATGTGAGCAAAAATTCTAGAAAACATAGCCCCTTGTAGATCCTTCCCTAGATGATTCTTTCATATTTATACCCCTACTATGCCTTGACACACATTTAAAAATATTCTTCCAGAATTAACTCCATAGCTAATTTTTATACTTTCTTGTAAGCCCCCTAAAAATTTTAATGTGTACATTCTCAAACTGCATAGAACAAACGTACTCACTGTCTGTGTATATTTACGGGCACAGAGTTGAAATGAAAACAGCACTGCCATCTAAAAGGTGCATTCCACCTTGTGCTGTATGGGAATGGAACAGTCCCCCCTGGCGCCATGGGGCGAGGTGACCCTGAGAGGAAGGGGCCCCGGAGACCTGGATTCTAGTCTCAGCTGCTCACAAACCGAGGGGCTACGGGTAAGTCATTTTACCTCTGTGAACTTTAGCCTCTTGTCTGTGAAATTACAGAACTGGAATAATTTCTATGGCCTCTTTCAATTTTAAAGGTGTTTCATGTTAACTGGTGGACTTTTTCTGCCATTAAGTTCTAATTCATATGTCTATCAAAATGTCCTTGATATTGTGAGCTCCCAATGGACAAGAATTTTATCTATAGACGAGTCCTTTTGTGCAGCGCTCAGCATAGTGACATGTGTAATTAAATGCTTTAGAACAACTGTGATGGCAGGTGATAACGCTGCATTGCAGAAGGAAGGGTAGCTTCCTTCTCCGCATGTCACTTCTCTCCAGAATGACGATAAAGACCATGGGTCATTGACAAGTCTTAGGTCTCAAACCAGAGAGTCAGCGACACTAACATTTGTAAATGTCTTCACCCTAAACTGCAGAGCCTCGCAATTACCCTCCTTATTAGGCTCCCATGTGTGAATAACAATAAGAAATTAATCATCATAGTGGATACTTATTAATCATTTCCTATACACCAGGCATAATACCCAGTATTTTGTATATATTTTTCTCATTAAATCCTCACAGCCTATAAAGTGATGCTATTGCCATCCCCATTTTATAGATGAGGATATTCATGTGAACAAGCTTGTCCACAGGACACAACTTTAAGAAATCAAGTCAGGTTTAAACTTAAGCATTGGGGTCACATCAACCTCAAAAATAATATCCTATGCTAAATACTGTGAGAGACTCAAATAGCTATCAGACAGCCTTACACATAACCTTGTTGCTATTCTAATGGCATATGTGATTACAAAATAATAAATATTATGAAACAACAAGTATATTGCTACAGAAAATTTAGGAAACCCCATATACTGCTTTCAGTATTGAGTTGCAAATGGTTGATGCATAGCGTTAATTTTTCCCAGCAATGCATGATAGATGGCCATTTTCTATGATGTTTGGTAAAGTCCTGTGGAGGTGGTGGTGGTCGTGAAGACCTTGGAGTAAGGTAGAGACTGGATCTGAGGTAGAGGGGCAAATACTGCAGGTGAAGGATATTATCGATTAACAGCTAGAGTTAGAGATACACCAGGTAGATTTGGGGTTCTAGAGACCTGTCTGAGGTCCCCCATTGTACTTACCCTGCTGTGTTGCAATAAAAATTTGAGCAGATTAAAACCTATGAGCCCTAGCACCAGGTGTGATCCTTAGTAGTTACTCTGTACACTCAGGTAAGGTAACCAGGTCTGGTACCTGGCAGGCACAGACACCAGTTGTCATTGCCATGAGGTGGCTTGTTGACTGAGTGCACAGACTTGGGGCTGGGTCCAAACCGCAGCTCTGCCCCCTTGGGGCTTTGAGCCTTGGACTGAGTCATTTCAACTCCATGTCTGAAACGGGGCTAGCAATTACTCTTCCATCCCAACTGTAACTAGCCGTACATCACAACCATCAGCTGATTTTCATTTACTTTACTGTCTTGAACCGAATTGAGACGGATGTGGTCTAGCATGTGTCACTGGGAGAAGCAGTCTGTGCTGAGGACGAAGACTCCTGGACATTGCAGCATTGTGCAGCGTGCATTCACTGAAGCAAAATGGATCCTCAGAGACTGCAGAACCAGAAGTCTAATTTGGGCTCTGAATGCTGCTAAACGCTAAACTATCCGGAGAGCTATAGCTCTCTCAATACTTGGATTTACCACACTGAGTAAAATTTCCCACTGGCCTCCATGTTTCCCCAAAGCACGTCGTTAACCTCCTTCTAGACAAGGCATCTTTTCCTCTCCTTTGTCATGGGGCTTAACACAACGTCACCAGTGCAGGCCTGCTGGGTCACTCAGCAGCTGTAATCACAGGTGGAATAGCTGGCCCCGGGCTACACACAGAAGGGTTTTGTTCAAGCAGGCCTGTCCCTCACTTGATGGGATGGGTCACATCTGTGGAGTTTGCATTCTTCCTCTCCACTTTCCATTCTGGTCTCGGGAATGTACCATGTTGGAGCTAGGAATCTCTATTGCCATAACTGCCCCAAAACGTGGGTAGCTTGGTCCTTCCGTTTTGGGGTGGCTTGTGGCTGTGGTGGGAATTTCTGTGAGTAGAAGAGAGATGATGACTAAAGATTCTTTGATTGGGGGAGGCTGTGATTGGAAGGGGACACTTTGGAATCACAATTCCTTGCTCAGCAATCAGAGTGCCTTCCTCTGAGTTAGGAGGCTCAAGTACTTCTTCCCATCAGGTGTCTGCAGGACTTACCTTGCCTCTTGCCTTCACCAGATTTATGTTATGCACCGTTTGCTTCCCAGTTCGTGGGTCAGCTATCTTGCAGAGGAGGATGAAAGGCCTGAGACAAAAATTAATGTCAGGAGAGGGGCCTAAAACTCTAGGCAGAATGATATTCTCTGGCCATCCACACTCCTTGAAGTTAAGGGAACTTTACTACAGAAATGATTTTTCTGTTTGCAGAGAAGGAATAAGGAAGGGGCATAAGAAATAAAGAATGAGGACGGGGAACAGATGAGGTCTTTAACTTCTGAGAGAGGGCAGCCAGGATAGCATTTCATAAACCTTCCATCAACGGGCAGCTTAAGGTTCTGCATTGTATGCGATGAGCTAGTACAAATAGGGATTGATTCTCTGTAAACTGGCCCTGGGCACACCTGTCACCTTACCCAACGAGAGACAATAAGTCTAGGAAGGTCACCGTGGGACCTGTCTGCCCCGCTGTCCAAATCCCAGCTGAACCCTGACAGAGCCCTTGGGGAAGGGATGTGCCATCCGTGGGCCAGGCACTGACACTGGGAGGGACGGACAGAATACCATGGGGAGGAGGAGGAGGGGGCCTGGGAGGGAGGAAGAGGGTGTGTGAGGTGCACGCTCGGGAGGGAGGAAGCCAGTGTTTTTTATTTCTCTCAGCTATTATGGAAAGAACTGCGGGAGCTTAAATCTAAAGAGCAGTGCTGAAATAATGTTCAGGACTTAACAAAAGCTGCTGCTCTGCTGCTCCGCCGTCCCCGCTGTGGCCTGCCTCTACCCAGCTCTGTGCGGTGGCTGATCCTACCCGCCCAGGGGAGGGGGGAGCCCGCCTGTCCTCACACGTCTGGGGTTGAGCGGGGTTCAGCTGTCACTCGCCAGGTCACCTCGGGGAGGGCAGAAGCCGTGGCAGGAGGAAGGCCACCTCCAACTTTAAAGGGACTCTCCCTGGAAGGGGCATCTTGGACGGGCTCCCTCCCCTTTCCTTCCATGAGAGTGGGGCAGGGCTAGGCACAGATGATGTCTGAATTATGTGGCTCTATTTTGAGAATTTGCCTCAGAACAGCAGATTTCCTGATTTATTGTTGATTCGCCTAAACTGGTATTAAAATGAAAGCGCACCTCTTAACATTGCAGAAATTAAAGACACAGAGATATAAGTCCAAAGTCCTACAAAAGGAGTGTTTTCAGTATTTTTTTTTTAACTGAATTATAGGCGAAGCCATCTGGCCTTGATTTCTGTAAGTTATCATCATCATCTCAGAAAGAAGCAGTACAACATAGTCACGTAACAGACAGAATTTCAAATTTCAAATCAGAAGACCTGGTGTTGAGTCTATTTGCGTTTATCAGTTTCGATCCTGTGATGCTCAATGTTCTCATCTCACCATGCCCCACCTCATCTCTAAGTGAAAGGAATACTATCTCCATCCCAGGGTTGTCGGTTAATCGAAATGGAGGCTGTGAAAGTTCTGGCACCGTGACCGGCACACACATACACGGGCTCCTTGACTGTATGTTTGGTCGTCTCGCTTGAGACAACAAATCAGTGTGCTGATTAACATCCGACAAGAACTTCACAGTCTCTGCCCTCCAGGTGCTTATTGCCAAAACTTTCCTCCGGGCTCTGTAGTAGACTGGGCGACTATGGCGTCGGGATGTCCCAGCACCCTGGCAGCCAGCTCCCTGTTTGCTGGGCACTCTATGCTTTGGGCACAGCAGTGGGCACAGGACACTGGCCTAGCTACCCAGCTTCTTCCTGAGAGTTTTCTAGATTCCTTTGGGAAAAACGAACTGCAGCTAGGGGCTACCTTTCTTAACAGGTGGAGGACGTCTGCAAGCAAATGGAGCCAACAAAAAGGAAAGTAGAAGCAAGAGAAGAGGCCATCTCTGCAAGTCTGAAAGCCATGCCTGGAGACAGACACTCCCCCCAGAATTCCTGGTTCCCACATTTGCTTACACTAGTTTGGGTTGAGTTTCTGTGCCTTGCAGCTAAAAGCGTCTGGACTAAAAGGGTCCATGTGGAGGGTTGTGAGTAATGACTTCCTTTCTTCCCTCCCCTTCCCACATGACATCCCCTGATATATTGCAAATGTCTAGATATTATGTGAGGCTTGTGGGAGAGAGAATAACCTAGGCAGAGATGTAGGTGTTGTAGGCCCTTTATTTAAAAAAATAATGAGTAGCCAGTATTGTTATCACATTGGAATTAAACTAAAGTTATAGATGGAGTCACAAAAAGTGTCCATAGATGAACCAGATCCTTCCTCGTCTAAAGGTCAGGGGTGTAGAAGGGGTGGGGAAGTAAACCACCAGTTAATGAACATATCCTGTGTAAGCATTCTGCATGGCTTTCTATTTAACCCTCACAGTGTCCATAGAAGGTGAATGCTATTATCCTTAATTTGCAAATAAAGAGGTTAGGTAACTCATCCACAGTCGCACAGGTCTTTATTGATATTTCTAGAGGTTAATACGGTGGAATGTACAGCGAATCAAGCCATTCCCGTAGAGAGGCCTCCCCTGGCCCTCTGGACTTGGACAGCTGCCCACCTGTGCTCCCCTAGTCCAGCCAGGCAGATTGTGGACAGGGGTTTGGCCCCATCAGCTCCTGGGCTCTCAGCAGGTCACACACACGAGCAACTGCGGTGCATGTGACCCTGGAAACCTCTTCTTTGCAGTCTCCTGCCCAGCAGGCAGCTACAGAGTGGGGGGCAACGGCTGGAGTCAAGCCCAGATTGAAAGAAAAGTGGGCAGATTCTTGGGGTACCTGGCACAGACCCACCTCCCTATGTTGGGGCCCATGACTTAGCCTATTTGACAATAAAATGTCACTACTATTTTTCGCTACTTCTCTCCATAAACATTTGTATTTGAAGACTTTATGGGGAGAAGTAGCCTGGTCTAGGGAAAGATTTATGTATTTCTCAATTATTTGGCCTCATACTAGCTTAAGACTAATTAAAAACACACTAAGCTCTACCAGCTGAATTTGGGAGAAGACTTTGAGATGAACAGAGTTCAGGAACCCTTTTATTAATATCCCTGCTGTTATTTTACACGGAGGAGCAGTGCCCAGAAAAGGGCAATCACACAGTTAGGTTCATACAAGCAGAACTGGGAATGGAATCAACTCATCTGGCCCCTTGTCCAATATTGTTTCTTATATTCCAGAACGCATCTGGATGCCTGCATTCGCAGTTTGAGCGGACAACCCCTTGTGCAGCTTCCTCTCCCCAAGAAAGTCACTCTGGTTTATTTGCCCCAAATCATATTCTTTGTAACTGAAAGTTCCAAGTCTTTAAAAATATGAGCATACCTGGAAGGGGCAGACAAATGAAGCTGTTGTCTGTCATTGAAAGCTCGGGGTGAAGGGTTTTCGGCTTCTTTACAAAGCACTGGTGATAAAAGAGGGGGTATGAGTGAGACCAGAAGGGCGCTGGGGGCCTGCGGAGGGCGGGTGTACGGTGTGCGGGGAAAGGAGGGGGAGGACGAGGATGAAGACCCGAGACACGAGACACAGGGTTTGCCACAATGACCCTGACTTGGCTCCTCTGTCATTCTGCTGTCGCTCTCCCAGAAAGGAGACAGGAGATCTGGGGGCAGAGGGCGTGGTTAGTGTCACGTGCTGCCCCACTATGAGCTCCACTGACGACTTTTACAGGGGTGGGGGAGATAAGGGGCTCAACAGAGTGTCGTGGGAGGTGGCTAGCTGAGGCAGCAGTAGCTGTTCATCACGGGCATTTGACGGATTCTAACTCGCAGTAGAGTATAGAAGAGACATATGAAGACTTAAAATCAAATCATGTGTCACACTGAAGAATAATGGTACTTTCAGCTAAGAATATATATATATATTTTTAATTTCTGAGTGAATTAAGTGCCTATAAAAGGTGTTGAATTGGCAGCCTAGAGAGCTAGAGCCCTTGATCTATGCACAGAAGAGGAAAGAGGGAGACAGTTACCTGAATCATTCTCAAGTGCTCTGAGCCACCCACCCGTATCCTCTGCCCTTTGTCTGGTTAAGAATTGTGACCCATTGTCCACTGTGCAGGTTCTTCCTGCCATTCTGCATGGGCTTTAGATTAGGATACCATCAGGGCTAAATGGTAGGAAAATCAAATAAATGAATGCCAAGGTCCTCGGCAAAGAAAGTATTCAGTGACCGTCATATATGGACAGATCCGCGCCACCAACACCTGGACCTTTCTCTCTAACTTGGGTTTCTGTCTTCAAAGTACATATGCATATTGTAGTTCATACTTTTCTCATAAAATATTTGCTCAGCTATGCTGGTTATTGTCATTTTTTTTTTTAGGATGGGAGACTGAGGCACAGAAAATGATAGCATGTCGGATCTGGAAGTAATCTTAGAAAAGTGACAGGACTAAAAATAGGACCCAGATTTCCTGACTTTCAGTGAAGAGAGGAACTCTCAGACAGAAAGGATTAGGCAGCAGCGGAGGGGGGAGAACCTCAGTGTCCTAACCCCCTACCCTCTTCTCACTGTTCAGGCGTTTGTCACCGTTATCTAATGCAGAGCATAAAAGAAAACACGCACAGATAATGTAATGACAATGATAAAAACATTAATAAAAACAACACCTTATGGAAGGAGAAAGTCTCTCTCAAGATAGATTAGAGGCCCAGAGGCAGAATAGATAGCGTGGCCACCGAGGTGAGGCAGAGCTGGCTTCTTCCCCCGGGTTCCCACGGAGACGGAGACATGGCTTTTATTTACAGGACACTTAAGCTCTCTGAGCCTCAGATGCCCCCTTAGTGGCTGGGGGAGGAAGGGCTCCTTGCAGGATTAACCCAGCATGCATGCAAAGCCATCGGCACTCAATAGGCTCAAGGTAGATATCAGGTCTCCTACTAGAGGACAGTGGGGTCTTTTTGTTGTTGTTGTTTTGGATTTTTTTCAATTAGGAAAAGAAATATGATTATTTTGGGGGAAAGTCATTTTTTAAGGAAATGAAAGATTGATTTTCCATTACGATGTTGATTTTTAGGGGGCTCTAACTTTGATTTCTTTCTTTCTTTTTTTTTTTTTTTTTTTTTACTTTTTTGTCTTTTTAAAAATTAAGAGTAGGTTGTTGACTTACTAGATGAGTCAGGCTTCAGTATATCTTCCTTGCATTTAGTCCAGAAGAGATTTATGGGAGCAGTATATATTGACAAAACATATGAAAATTGGCTACTAAAATATGGGAGAAGTGGAATGTTGCTCCCTACATCTCATTTAAAGGGCAGGGCTTTCCTGGAAGCAGAGGAAACTCTGGGAGCCTCAACGCACAGCTGTCTGTCGCCGTTAGCAGAACTGTGCGCACGGACGCGGTGCAGGCCTTCCACGGCAATCCAGAAATACCATCGTGCTGTCACGAAGGCCTCTGTGGGGAAAGTGGCTTTAACGAGCATGCTGTGTTTGATGTTATTAGAAATGAAATGTTTGCAGAAATGTCACTGCACAGGTAAGGCACCTACATTGGGCAAGGATGTGTGCTTCTCAATAAAAGCTGAAAGTCACGCACACACACACACCCTCTCTTTCCCTTCCAGTTGTGTGTTTGCCATTTACACTAGTAGCTCAATCAAACCACATGTGAAAGTAAAGGCACTGAAAATACAGTCCAGAAATTTCATGTTTATATTGGTTATGGAGGACACTTCGCTCACCCTGCAGGTGGGGTGACTGAGCAGACTTGAGATCAAGGAGTCACAGGATAATCACACTCCAGGGACCCAGGAGGGCTGCCCCAACCCTCACGCTGCGGCCACTGATTCCAGACCATGTCCTCATTCCACAAGAACATTGGTCACTCTAAAAAAAATGCAGACTGTTTTTATTTCCTCTACATGGAGCATAGAACCTTATTATGTGTCTCTGTTAAGTTGGAGAGACATGGAGATGTGTATTCATAAACCACATGATCAACAAGTGTTTGGTGTGATCCAGCTGTGTTCAGACATTGAGAGAGGCTCCAGGTCTTACCTAAATGTAGTAGCAATTCATTCTTACCGTCTTGGAGGATGGCATGTATTTATTTATTCATTGCATTAGCACTTATTTAGCACCTACTGTAAGACAGATTGTTTCCAATTACTATAGATATAACTATTAGTAATTTTTCCCCTAAAGTTACTCAGTTTAAGGGGGAAACTGACCAATGGTTATAAATATTAATAATGGCTATTGAATTAATCAAGATAAGTGACACTAAGTGACGCGAAAGTAAAATTCTAGAATCTCAATGGTTTAAAGTAAAGCAATATTTTTTAACCTCACACTAAGTCCAATATGGGGCCAGAGGCAAAAGGAGGAAGGTCCAAACAAGGCAATGTTAGTGAGATGGCAGGCTGCGTTCTAGAGGTGCCGTCTGTATGCTGTTATGCTGGGAGGTGTCTTTCACTGGATACTGACAAATATCAGGGCAGTTTTATTGAACACAATGGTTATTACAAAAAATAGTGAAGGAGACAAGGAAGTGTTTTCTAAGTGCCAAAGTGATACAGGTAAAAGTAATAGTAGAGTAGAAAGAAACCAGTATTATTTATGGTTCAGTCTAAATTACTATTGATGTAGTGGTTTGATAAAAATAAATAATACTTAGCATCTTAAACTCAAATATCATCTTGAATTTTTTTTTCACATGAGAGAGACCAAAGGTCTTGATGGGTAGGCAGCAGTGGAACAAGGAACCAGGAAGAGAATCAAGCCAAAATTCTGCATTTTTAGAGAATGGAAAAGTATAATGACTACCTCTAAATAATTTTAGAAAAATACATTTAATTCCATGTGCTAAGGATAATAATGCAGAAAAATTGAAAGATAATATATAACTTCCAAACTATTGAAAAGAGATAAAAAGGAACACAGACAACCTTAAAAGGGTATCAAAAGGTCTGAGAGAGCTAAATAAACATTTACAAAGAATGGTAAATAGAAAACATAGAGACTAATGACTAGAAAAAGTTCTCACACTTTACTCTCCTAATAAGTGTGAATATATTGACTTTATTAAAGCACGGAGATTTGCAGATTCTAAAAAAATCTAGTTTTAGGCTATTTGTAAAGGAATATATAAAATAAAGCAGAAGTTTTAATAATATGCCAGGAAAATAATAACAAAAATAGATATAATGGAATTAATATCAAAAGAAACATAAATCAAGGTAAAAGGATCAGCCATGAGAAAAAATGAGGTATTCATTTATAGGATAAATGGTATAATCCACAAAAAAAATGATAATCATAAGCTTTACTGAAACCGACAAAAAGTTAACAAAATAAAAACTCTTGTACATGCAAATAGAAATGGACAATTCCACAATAGGATAAAATATATATATATACTAATGCAACTCTCAAAAAAAAGAAAGAAAATGAGAGCAGAAATGGGAAAGAAGTACACAGAGATCTTAATAACAAAATCAACATTTTGAAAATAAGCAAACAAATAAAATGGATGGATGGATAGAGAAAGAAAGAGACAGACATAGAGAACTTTAAATTCAACAAATAGAAAGTGCACACCCTTTTCATAACGCAATGGAATTT